GGTGGGCAGGGAGCTGCCCCGTGGCCCCGCGCTCCCCTCCAGAGCAGGCGGCTTTTGGCGCTGCGGGGGCCGGGAGCTGAGCCCGGCCCAGGGCCACGTGGGCCCTCATGGGCAGCGGGTGCTCCGCACCAGCTCTCCGATGTGTCCGTTTGGATGCACAGTGAGCACATGTATGCATAATTTATACTTTGTTCCTTATTTTTTCTCTCAAATCTGTGTTAGCATTTGCCCACTGCCTCCTTTGGACCAAAAAGCTCTTTATTTCTGTGACCATAGTATTTCATTGTAAGATGAATCCAGTTTCCCGAGCAGCCCTCTGAGGTTTGGGGATGTGGCTGGCGCGGGGAGGGCCTCTGGCTGCCCCCGTTTCCCTGGGGGCTGCTCCTGCCTTGGGCTGGGGAGGACGGAGCTTGGCTGCTTGGTAGGGCGTCCGGGTGGGAATGTTGTTGGGAGCCGCCGCGTCCAGCAGCGTGGAGGCAGAGGAGAGCTGCTGCAGTGCCCGACGTGCTTCCTGGCACTGGGCACGGAGGAGGAGCGCGGAGCTGCCTTGGAAGGCTGGCAGGAGGGAGCTGGAGCCAGTGCAGGTGCTGCACATGATCCGGGCGGCACTGTGGAGCTGCTTGGAGCACAGGAGCTGCGTTAAACTGTGGGCTTTCAAAATGATCCGATAAATCATCTGTGCGCAAAGAAGCTGTTGGGTGATTCTCCGTGTTGTTAGTGGCTATCCTGGTTAATAATAATCTACACTTCATTAAATATCTTTCGGGTCTCATTTTAATGGGCTATTTCTGAAAACTCTGGCAGGAGGTAAGGTGAGGGCTTCATGTGCTGTTAAAGTGCTTTGGAGCATGAGGGCAGCTCTCCTGGCCTTAGAAAGCTTTCTGCTTCCAGTAATTTTCTCCCAGCGTGGTTCCTGTTGGTTTATATAGACATTGCTGTCATTGTGACAGTCATACTCTAATGTGCTTTAATGAATAGATTTTAAGTCCTTTACACAGGTTAAGTGTGTAAGATATACTAAGGAACATCGGGCTCTGTCAGTGTCATGTTTAATGTTTTAATTAGAAATTTTGACGTGCCTCTCAGCACATCCCTGTCAAACCTCTTCCTGGGCTATGTGCAGGTGTCACGTTTCTGTTGAGCTTCTGATTCGTTTTTCCCTTGGCGTCCGTGGCAGGTATTTAGCTTTCGCATCTCTGATTTTGAGCTATCCCTTCTCCAAGCTGAGACTGGCTGCTCTTCCCACTCCCTTTCTAAAATCTCATTAATACTTGACTAGATGTTTTTCAGTAGATGCAATTGCTGCCATGACTTAGAGCATTATTGCTTGACCCGGAACAGGAGCGAAGTCTTCGGTGCAAATTCTAAGCTCAAATAAAATGGAGCCCACGCTGTGTAATCCAGAAAGGTGAACCAAGCCGTGCAACAGTCCTCAAAATTAATTTCAGCAAAGATCAGATTTATAATGTTCAAGCAAGGCCCCTTTTGAATGAAATACTTCCATCAGGTCTTATGTTTGCTCAGTGGTGTTTAATTCTGATTTGGTGTTTGTTTCAAGGACTAAATATCTAATTCCCTTGGTCACGGTTGGGTTAGAATCCCACGTACCGAGAAGAGAATCTTGATTAGAAAAGGCATCTGCAAGGCGCAGCGCCAGCTTTCCTGCATCCCCCTCAAAGTCCTGCTGCAGCAAGAATCTCAATATTTTGTCTGTAAAAGGTAAATAACATCCAAATACCATTAATCTTGATGAGAGCCTACTATGCAGTGCGGCAATTAGACAAGGAGTACAAACGAAGACCTTGGAAAGCAGCAATTGCTTTTAATCACGCTGCTGCTTTTTTTGCATTTGTGGAGCCCTGTGCAGCCTCTGTGAAACGGGGGCTGCTCCTGGCTGCAGCCCGTGTGCTCTGCTGAGCTCGGACAGGGCCAGTGCGAGTGCCACAAGACACGAGCGCTCAGCGTGGCGCGGATGTGCTTCGCAAGGTGACTTTTGTCATCCTATCCTCTTAATTTTGAGCAGGGACTTCCGTGCAGGTGTTTCTCATAGCTCAGTCCTCTGTGCCGTTCTTAAAGGAGAGTATCCCTAAGAGGGGGCTCACGCCAAGAGCAGTGTTTCCCTGCACGTTTGAAGCTGTTAATTCTAAAGCTCGTCACATGTCGCTATTAATCCACAGAGTACCTCCCTTTCCCCAAAATGATCAGAATCTCTGTGTTTTAAATTTAGCAAAATCTGCCTTCTAACCGTAAGCATTGGCTTATAACAAATACTTCTGCTGTCAGGCAAGTGTGGATGTGCCAGCACTGGTGTTCTACAGCCTGCCTGCCTCACATTAACCACAAAGTCACCAGATCCCAGCAGAAATCCTGGCTCCCGTCATTCCTGTTCCCCACATTGGCTTCCACCTTCCCTGGGAGCAGTGTGGCTGATGGGGCCATGCAGGCTGCAGCGCTGCTGCTTCCAGATTTTTTCCTCTTTAGCTGCATGCGGTTTCCATTCGTGCTTAAACCCCTTTTCTCTTTTGCTGCTGTTGGTCTCTGCCTTCCGAAGTTCATTTTCGAGCCATATTTCCCTGTGTTTCATGCCTCAGATTTGCTCCTCTCTGCTGTCCACTGTCCTTCCTGACAAGATAAGACAAATATTTTAATCAGTTAAGTGAGTAGTTTTGGAAGGTGGAAAGGAACTAACTTCAGCTCTGACTGCTTGCATTAAGTGAATTTATAAAGTCTTTTACAAAACCTATTCTATCCTCAGTTTATTTCTGTTGCTTCCTGTTGCACTTCCCAAGGCAGCCTGCCTCGCCAGCATGGGAGAAGCAGAGGCCTCGGGATTTGTATCCCTCTAACGTCTCTTTATTCTCTGATGTTTTCCTGCTAATTCCTTAGACTTTATTTCCCTTCTCAGTGACTGCTGCACTGCAGTTAGCCCGAGACCTTTCCTAACATATTGAGTTAATTAATCTTGGATTGCTGAAGTGTTTCTCAGAGTGGCACGGCTGGATGTTGAGCGTGGCTCATTTTCACCCTTTGTCCTCTATTAAAGCCCAAAGCGTTCATGGGGACGCGTGCTCCGGCTGGCACCGCGCGGAGCCCCGGCACGTTCGGTGCTTCCCACGCTGTCCCTCTGCGGCTGCCCCCGGTGCTGCTGCTCTGCTCTTCAGCTCCCCTTAACAACACAGAGACTGCAAATCCGTGTCTGGTGACCGAGGGGAGCTGCTCTGCTTTGATATTTGCAGAAGGGGAGGAGAACATCCATCGTTGAGAAGGTTAGAAAGAATGGAGGGAAGCTGCAAACTCTTCAGAAAGATTCTAGATTAAATGTGCGCCAAGTTTTATTTGATCTTCAAAGATAAACTTCAATTCTCTGGTAAACAGTTCTTTCTTTGCCAAGTAATTAAGATATCAAAAGTAAGTAAATATTACAAGTGATTGTACAGACATCTACTCAGCGGACTGTTTTTTATCCCATTGTTTCCTGCATTTCTGGGATCACATTAAAAATACATGGCAAGAGAAATGAGATAGAGACCAGAGTGTTCCAAAGGGAAGGATACCAACGGGTTTTGCATGGTTTGGGCAGTAGCATCTTCTGTGCCTGGTACATAAGCATTTATTGAAAATGAGGTAAACATCAGTGTTCAGTTGAGCTTTTGTGTCAGATACCCGGGTGTGAGGGCTCTGCTCTCGTGTCTCTGAGCATGGTGTAACGAGATGAGGGGCTGTTTCATTTTTGGCCTCTGAACTGCGACTGCTTCTGAGTTCTAGTGCTCAATCCACACCTCGCTTGTGGAAAAACCCCTCGCAAATCCTTTTGTTTTAAATCTGCTTCCTTTCTTCTTTTGTTTTTTGTTTCCATACAGTTCTGGAAGCGTTGGTTATATTTTGCTTGGTTTCAATCCAGTCGGGATGTGTTTTTCTCTGAACTTGCGTTCAGTGATCATATGCAATCATATGCATACTTACGTGCTATTTGTTAACATGCCAATCTAGTGCTTAGAGCTGCTGTGGTTGCTAATGAGTTGTTTAATATGGTACTAACAAGGGCTAATAACACAAATCGCCTAATGGCAGTGATTTCTCTTTATTCTTGGCTACTTTCCTGCTCTTTCTAGAGAGTAACTATGCGCTGAATGCATGCAAAGGCAGTCGTATGTGCAGCATACGTAAACAAATGTGGTATTTGGAGTTGATGTAGTTTTTAGTCTGCTTGGTTGTATCCAAATAGGGTTTGCAGTGTCTGCGGACAGTGTCCTGTAGGATGAGGCAGTTGAGATGTATAATGTAAACACTGGGGTGTCCTTTGCAGTGTGACAAGAGCAGAAGACCCTTGCAGGGGGAGAGCACAGCACTAGAGCAGCTGTGTCCTGATCCTTCTCCCAGATACTCCCAGGCCCCAGGGCGGTTGAATTCGGGGCACTTAGTGTCATTCTAATTGAAGTAACATATCCCGGAGCAGGATTAGTGGCCCTGGGATGCCAGGGCTTGTGGCTTCCCGTGCCAGTGTGGGTGAGGTGCTGAGCTCTGCTCTCGTGCCTGCGCTCGCTCCGAGGGCGGCCGCTTGGCAGCCTCTCCGGCAGCGTGGCCGGGAATGCGCTCCTATTTGCCTAGAGCGCTGCTAAGTAACTCGTTTTTAATCCTGTGCCCTTCTCTCTCCCGCAGGAGTATAAACAGAAGCTGGCGCGGGTAACCCAGGTCCGCAAGGAGCTCAAGTCCCACATCCAGAGCCTGCCCGACCTGTCGCTGCTGCCCAACGTTACAGGAGGGCTGGCACCTTTGCCGTCCGCGGGCGACCTCTTCTCAACAGACTAGGGCAGAAGGTGGCCCCGGTTTCCGCGATGACCAGCAGGAACAGCCGACCCCGGCGGCGCCCGGACGCCCGGGCCCCGAGGGTGCCCTAGGAAGGACCTTGCAGACCCGCTCCCAGCCTCCTGCTGCTCCGCTCGCCCCTCTGCGCGGCGGCCTCGCCCGGGGGAGGACACGGAGGGAGCTTTGGAGAGCTCCGAAGGGAGCGCGGATAGTCCGTGCAGACAAACTTCTCACATTTCTCCCATACCTTTTAGTTTCTGTTTGCTCCTAGCACTTGTTCCCCCCACGAAAGTCACGAGAATCATGTATATATATACCTGGAAAGTTTTCAAAGAAAGATTGACCATATAACTTTTTTTTTTTCCCCTCTATAAAAGCGTGTGTTATTTCTAAATCAGTCTTGTCCATTTCAGTTGGGTTTCTGGACCTCGTATCTGAGCGCAGTGGAGAGGCTGGCGGGCCCCGTCGGTGCCAGGGGAAGGCATCCACCGAGCAAGGGAACAGGGAAATGCTTCTTAAACCTACACTTCCTCGTGGTGTTGCAGGGCTGATATGAAGGTATTTTGTATTTGGCATGTACATAAATCGAGGCTCACTGCAGGCAATAAAAATAAACAGCTTTTCTTTGTGAATTAGAGATAGCTTCATAATTTACACTCTGCTGAGCAAGGCAGAACTGGATGTTACTTACACAAGAATGGAAGTAAATTTGGTTTTGCTTCCTTAGATTTATACCACATTTTTCCTCTCCATTATACAAAAGTAGATGGTCACAGAGGCTTCGGTTTAACTAGCTGAGAGGTGGAAATGGTGGATTGCAGCTGGTGATATCCCAGTGACAGGTGCTCTGATTTACTCTGAGGAAGAAAATATTGGAAATATTATACTATAAATTCTCTTTATAGCTTTAGAGAAGCTGTTTGGTAGACAGAAGTTAAATGTGGTATAAATGCTTATTTATGTAGAGAATAGGCCCATATGTGTGCACATATCCTGTATGTACATGTGCCATGACCATGCACGTAGGTATTAGAAGGATGTACTTAATTTTGTGTCGCAGATTAATGTGAGTTGATTTTATTATTGGGAAAAGTCAAAGAACAACAAATTCAAAATACTCTTTAATTCCTTGATTCTGCTAGCTAATGTTTTAACTGCCATGGATATAATTAGATTTCAGTTTGTGTGTTAGCTTTAACAAGCTGGACTCTCTAATCATTAAAAACCATTCCAATCTGGCTAACAAACCTGTTTAAACTTAGCACCTCTCGCTGCAGAGCATCCGAAGGCTCTGGAAACGCGAGATCCGGCTGGGATCGGAGCCGGGATCGGAGCCGCGTGCCCGGCTTGCGCCTCCCAACAGTCCTAAGCTGCTGTTGTCAAAGACACGAGAGGAACCCTACAGAAATGCAAAGTTGTTCTGCGTTCTCATTTATTTATTTTACAGGGTAGTCGGTAGAGTATTCAGCATTCAGTTAAATAATGCAGCATTTTTGGTCATTAAGTTTTTAAAAAGCTCGTGTGCTTTTCTTACTGACACTTTGTTTCTCTCTCTTTCTCTCTTTGTTTTCCCTTGGTTAATCTTCATGTATCCTTACTGCCCAGCCAAGAAATGTGCTTTTCCCTTTAGTTTACAGTAAAATTTCAGTGACAGAAGTATTTTTTTTTTCCCCAATATGATTTGATGTGGTAGTGCAGCTCTTTATGGTCCAAACAATAGTTAGATAAAGCGCCGTGTGTTTTCTCTGCTTTTGCCAAAAATAAAAAACAAAACAAGAAACTCAAAAACCCAAACTGCAAGATCCATTTCTATCCTGTTCCAGCTCATGGTGTTACTGTGAGGCTGTTTTAGCCAGAAATTATTTTGACCATTCATTGAACGTGCATCCAATATAGAACAAAAAAGCTGTAATTAAAAAAAAATTATGTAGGAAAATGTATTAACATCTCATGCTGTTGTTTTGGGCAGATCTATTGTGAGAAAACTGTATGTATTTTTTAATTGAAATGTTTTGATTTTTTTTTTCCAAATATACGTGTGTGTTTTATTTTGCTTAATTTAAATGAAGTCTTGTTGTTTTTAATTTTATTTGCTTTATTTCTTGGGCAAAGGGCATCTGGTGAACTGGGTGAAATCCTCTCAAGGTTAAACAGATTTCCCCAAGATTTTTTTTTTTTTTAACAAAAGCTTAAATCTGTATATTTACTGATTTTAGGAATTAATTTAGAGGTATAGGCTGCCGTTTGTGGCAGCAGTATATTCTGAAATGTCTCATAGATATCTATTTTTGAATAAAGAGGGTGTCGTTGAATAGTGGTGGTTTTATTATTGCTTTTTCATTCACTTTGAGGATCTTTTTGCGGTGGAGTTGAAGGAATTTCCTGCTCTCCGCCCGGCTGCAGGAGGAGGCTCCGCCGACCGGAGCTCCCAGCCCCGAGGAGCGGAGGCAGCAGCAGCCGGAGGCTCCGGGTGCCTCCTCGCTCCGGTCTCGGGGGTATCCCGGGATGCGCGGACGGGCCGGCCCTCGTGTCGCTGCCCCGTGCACAACCCCCGGGACAGGCAGGGGCACAGGGAGGCACCCAGCAAGGGATGGACTGGGAGTGAAATACAGAAGTGAGAAAATTGGCTAGTTCGGGGAACAAAAGTGGTGACTTGGGGATTGCGTAAATAAGGATGAAGGAAAACAACAGCTTAGCGATAACTGCGAGTTTTGTCCCCTATGTGTTAAAGTTTATCTTACCATCAAGGATGAAAAAGTGCAGGCTGGGCTAAAGCAGCCCTTGGTATTGATCGAAGGAAGGCTGCGGAGTCCCAGGAAGGAGGCGCTGGGACCGGGTGTCTGCACGGAGAGGACAGAGGCTGCAGAGAAGGGGGAAGCGCCCGGCTGTGTCCCAGTCCGTGCGTCCGTCCCGCCTGGAGCAGCAGGTAGGAAAACGCTGGAGAACTCGCCCTGCACCATCTGAAACTGCACAGCCCTGCGAAACGCTTCAATGAGGCATCCGCGTGGTTGCTCTCCGTCTATTAATAGCAGGGCAAAACTGAAACAAGCATTTCCCAGCAATTCTGCTTGTTTTTAGGGTAGTGCCTCAGATACCAACGGCCTTTTCCCGTTTGAGGCTTGCTGTGGTTTGCAAGCCTGGGGTCCAGCGCGGTTCCGAGCACAGCTTGGAGTGACCAGTCACATTTTGCAGATGTTGGATAAACAAGCTATGAAAAAAATTATGTGTTGGAGGGTGCAGGATCACTGTACTTCAAAGATAAATGAGTTTGCATTAGCATGGAGATTTATTATTTTTGTACCATCTTAGGAAAAAAAAAAACCTTGTCTGAATAGCCAAGTAAAGCGGAGCAGCGTTGAGCTCAGTTGTTTACAGGGAGGAGGAACAGGACGTTCCGGCTGGCGAGGGCAGCTCGGGGAGCAGGAGGTGCCGGCGGCAGC